CTGTCTCGCTGCTTCCTAGCTCTGCACAATGAATATACCCTCAAAATAATATCGATCTTTAATTGAATGTCCGTAATGCATAACATCGATTTATATATTGCGTAGATTCTCAAAGATTTACTCAATATTCACATCTAAAATGTTTATAATTTGAAAACAACACTGTGTCGCTCCAGCGCTCCTTCCTAGCATCATTACGCCATCGTTATATACGGCTTGATAGCGCATGCGCATTTGTGTTGCTAAAGAAAAAAATGGGTTTTCCGGGGGAAAGATCCTTCACACAACGTGAGAAGCGAATGTTATAAAATTTACAAAAATTTACAATAACGACAACGATTCCTCGAAATTTTTGTGAACTTGGCAAAAGAACAAAAAATATGTAAATAAAACAACTGAAATTGCCTAAATAACCTTCAAAGCACAATAAATCACTACAAACATAAATCGTATACATATAATACACCCCCCGGAAAGTTAACTCTATGACTGATTGACTGACTGACTGATGTGAATTTTCCCAGTCATCACAATAGTGCACAGTTTCAAAGAAACTCTGCACTAAAAATGAAAATTTTCTGTGAAAGTCAATTAACTTCCTGCATATGTAGACTTCAGAGAATGTATGGTGCCACAATCTCGCTTTTGGAATTTTTACAATACGTAAATTATTTGGCATTCCAGTTGTAAGAAAATTTCTTGCAAAGATAGTTTGTTAAAAATTTCCAGGGAGCGGTGCTGCTGGCGGTGTGGAGATACGGTACATTACCTGTCCTGTCGCAACATAATCTTTATCATCATGAACGGTAAGACAAAGTATATCATCAGTATGTCCTTTGTAGAAACGTTGTTCATGTGTCTTGCGGTTATAGCACACTCCTAAAGCCGCGGTGTGGAATACTATGTCGTCTGACGCCGTATAAAATACATTATTGCACGCATCATAACCATGGTAACTAGAAAAATTTAACAGAACAGTAATTACACAATGTGGTTCCCGCAAAGCAGGGACCATTTTAATACTCACCCAAATGTGCACATTTTAATACTCACCCAAATGCAAACTTTAGTTCTAGAGTTTCTTTGGGCATTTTTTGACTCAACCTTGTGTTACTGGTTGACTGTTTTGGACTTAAATGTTCTTTCCTATGAGAAAACAATAATTATATTTTCAAATCACTATTCAAGGTAAATATTATAAACATGGAAATAAGATTACCTTTCGCCTTCCTGACCTTGAGCTTTTCTAAGTCGATCAAACTCGACAGCTTGTCGCGAAAATGGACAACTTTCCTCGTCATGCATAGATGTGAGACATGACTTGCAATTAACGCTTCGTCTTGCCTCGCTTGACGAAGCTAACACCCATAACTCCTTATCCCACTTAGACCAGGTCGTTAACCTTCTTAACGAGGCCTTCCGTCGGAACGCTTCGTCGTACCTTAGCCACGCCCCTTTTTCGTCACTTTCTTGATACAGCATGGCAACGTTCGTCACGTAACCCAAAAGGTCTGTGATTCGCTCAGGATATTCTTGACATAGAATCGAAATATATACCATCATACATTGGATCCATTCACCAAAATCGGTCACCTTGGGTGCCGACGACCCATCCGTGGTCCGAGAAACGTGCTTGTTGTCCCATGCCGTATACTCTAGTATATTATGCGGTAAGAAATCAGCGAAATCGACATAATTTCCATTTTTGATTTTTTCAATAAGAAACTCAGACATGCTTTGCTGGTCAGGATTAGAGGTATTATGAATTAATCTACTTGAGCTTAAAAACTCATTGTAACTTTGATCGAATTTTGAATACGATCGAAGCGGACTAGAGGATCGACTCTGTTTGGGATAATCTTGTACATTCATTTCGCTTTTATTTCCCCAAGGGAAGGACTTGTTCAAGCCAACAGACATGGACGATCTACTCAACCCCATTGACCGTTCTCCATCTAATTCCACATCGCTGTCCGTGTCGTAAACATCCTTTCGAGACGAACTTCTCCAGTTTTGTGCTAAATTTTCAAAACTTCGGCCACGGATTGGACTTGTGGATGAAAGAACGTCCTCCCATGCTGCTGAGGTTGCTCTCTTTGGCGCTTCTTTGCCGTTTCTTGATCGAAAACTTTGAGACGACTCGTTTCTATCGACCGCAGTTTGCACTCTCCTCCGAGAAGCTTGCATAATTTCTTAAGTTTTGGTCAATATCCCGGTTTTCCAAACATTCAGTCAAGTGCTTGTGTCATTTTTATATCAATTTCATGTCATATGTTCGACAAAAGCCTCGAAAGCTGCATGATATAAATTTATAAACAACTTTTTTTGTTTGAATTCTCTAAGCAACGCAAACAATATGGCGTCTTGGCCGCGCAAGAGATAAGGGAAACTGGGTTGTAATTATGGTTGTAATCCACAGCAAACCCAGGCGAACAACATTAGCATATATTGCGAATTGACCTCGTTTCTTTAATGTACCGAATTTTGAAGATTTACCATAAGAGTTTATTATAGTGATTTAAATCATTTAATACCCCCGAAAAGTGTGTTAAACAACTAAAATCTTGCTGAAACTATACCGGCCTAAAATGAACGAAGATTTTGTCCCGAGCTATAATGTCGGATTGGTGTTGGACATGAGAAAAGTGCTGAACTGAGAAAAGTGCTTCCTTTTACTGTACGAAGCACTGCATATTTTTAATTTCGGTTTCCTCCTCAGTAACACTGGACCGTTAAAAGATGGCCTCGCATTACCAGAAGTTTAAAACATATGTTATTTATCGCAGAACACTCTAGGAGAGGTTTTTATCAATGTCACGGCGAGAATTCAAACATGGCTTAAGCTCAAACTGTGATCTCTATCGCGTCTCTATCTATACTCTATGTTTCTTAAAATAACAACTCTCAACAAACAGTCACAAAGGAAAATAATGTAATCTTATCACTGTATTTTGATTGTTTGAAATGAAACAACATTGTGACTCAAAGAAAACAGTTTAACTTTAAGGGTTTAAACACATGTCAACTGAATGTGAAAGTTTGAAAAATATATCTTGAGTTTACCTTTTATCGTATATTTATTATCGGAATTAGTATTTACCCCTCGGCAAAGGATTTCTGCGGGCTGGAGGGTCGATAGTTGTAGTTTTTCTGTCATTCTTATTTATTGGCAGTCGCACGACCCTGGTTAGCTGTTCTTAATGTTTTCCCAGTATAGTTAAAATACTCATCAAACCTTTATTTTGTTAATCTAGAGCGTGAAATGTCCCCTGTAACAATTATACTGATTGCCAACTTTTCCATCAACTCTCACAAGAGATGAGAGCTGAATTGCGCGGAAGGATGAAAGTCACAGAATGAGCAGCGCGCTTACCAGGATCAGACAGGGAAGACTAAGCCTAAGCATATATAATTTATCATTTGTCCACATCACACAACTATGTTATTTTAGTACTGCATGCATACAGTTAATTTGGCAAATAATCAGTAATATAAACCAAAAGTATGATACATCTGAAGCTGATCACGATGATAAGTAAGGTCAATATTGTTTTTGTTCGAGATTTTATGTACAGAACGCTTTTTTAAAACAAACCTAAGCAAAGATGTTGAATCGTGATAACATATAATATATTTATTTTTAAAACGACAACAATTACATGTTTAATTTTAACTATAACTAGTGAAAATGAAGGAAACGCAAAAGAAATCATCTGCGTGAAGAAGTTTGTGTATAGCTGATGCAATATCATGCTGATTTACATTTCTCGCCAAATATCAATTCATTTATTTTAAATTGTTGAAAAATACGAATGTTCTAGTCTTGTTAACTATTATTTTATGTTTCTCAACCGGCAGATGCATTTAAAAAGGTAGCTAACTCTATAAACTAGAGAATAATAAAGCTAGCTAGGTTTTGAACACTTTTCATTGCAAATACGTGACATTGAAAAAAATTGCCTCTTAATGTGTACGTAGCTGGATAAATTAGGCAAGCAGTTACTAGTCTGAACCTTGGCTTAGGTCAATTTGTCTTGATGGCCTTGAGATCTAAATTGCGCTAGACCAAACCAGGGTGCATCCTGGCCTGTCCTGGTTCTTGGGAGCACGCCAGCTTATAACCACTCAGTGGGCGATGTCCGAAGGGGTTGCTGTAATTTTTGGACATCAGTTTCCATGGGAACCGATGTATTGAATCTCCGTGATGGTGATTTTCCTCCGACAGTGTTGGGATGAATCCAATTTTGTTCCTACAGTACAACCCCGCATCATGAAGAACCGAGCAGATTAAGAACCTACACTACATGATCTTGAAACTAACCATCCAGATACCCATTTTTATCCGAACCAATTCAGCCAGTAATTTGCATAAAATGCACCTGGACGTCAAATTTGGAAAGATCCCAATAATAATTAAGTGTAATTTTTATAGAGTGTATTAGAGTCATGAAATACAACTTAATATTCTTATCTGAACTGGAAAATATTGTACGTTCTTATACGCGGGATTTTACTGCACTTGCTAGCAGCGCATACACTCCTGATTTTATAACAATATTTAGGCTGAAATTATGGCAAAGTTTTATGAATTTATTTTTCTCATGTTAGTCCCACTGATAATTCCCCTGTAAGATGGGTGCCCCTTTTTTGCGGTTAAACTGCCCTCCACCCTCCCCTCCCCCTCTCCGCACACACATTACTTTTAAAATGCTTCCATGGCCTTTGCACACAGTAAAACAAAAAGCATGCAATCTCTATTAATCCGCCTGGGCAGTTGTGAATGACGAACAATGAAAGCGTATTAAATCTGCGATTATATCGACTTAACGAGTTTAAATTGCCGCTAAACTACCAAACGGTGCTTTTCTACATGACATTGCACAAACAGAATACATATTTAATCCTTGTCAATACTGCCAAGTGCGAAGATTTTAGTGCGGCAGCGATTTGCGGCTTCTTTGAAACGAGCTTAAACCATCCCGGATTAGATTGCGACCTGGTCATCTCCTCTGAGCAACTGAAACTATGAAATAGAATCAACCGGGGCCACAAAAGTATACCTACATTAAATGTAACAAGGGGATACAGCATCCAATAGGAAACTACTGGCTGCAATGCTTCGCGCATGTGAGTGAACAACACAGATTTCCAAATTTTTTCCATCTTTACGGGAGATTTTTTTCACAACTGAGTTGTGATAAACAAACATGAAAAAAAACAGGATTATCTTTTGGTCGCCTAAGAAAGGGCACTAAAACTTATAAGTAAACATTGAACGATATTTTTTTTAATATACTGAAACTACAATTTGCCGATTATACGATGTGTAACTGGCATGGCGACATTTTACTACATAAATACACAGCGTACAGTACGTACGCTTTTAATGTGTCGTATTTCATTTTGACAAGCTTTTCAGCATTGGTTTGACATCATCCATTCATCCTTACATACACTGATACACATTGTTTTATCTTTCTAGTGCATATGGGCACAGCTCCAGACATTGATGTGAATATCAAGCACTGTCCTTTGCTTCGCTTGACGTTCGATTAACTGATATCTTGTTGACGTACACGTGGCCTATTTTTGCGCAATATATTTAAATTATTTTCTTTGCGCAATTTATTCAAATTGGTTTCCTTTTTGCGCACTTCTTTCTTTAGCCTTTGTTTAGGCAATTTATGAAACGATTTTTCTTATCTTATATCTGCGCAACTTATTTAAATACTTTAATTTTGTTTATTTGCCCTTCTTTGCGCAGTGTATTTAAATTACTTCAATCTCGGTCTTCTCAGTTTCACGATTTCAACTGATTTACATTTTGCGCGCAGAGATCTGCGCATAAGATGCGCACAGTTTCCTTCCTTAGCGTCTGTAAACCTGGGTCGTATTTGCGCTCCGTATTTGCATAAAATGCACCTTGCCGTCTACGCGTCATATTCGCAAATTTTTTATATTTGTTTCAGGAAGGCGTCAGTCCAGCGCTGATTCATATCACGGCCACACTCAATGTGTGGCTGACTGTTCCAAAATTGAGACCATGATTGCCCAACGAGTGGTTTCATGCCCTGCTATGTTTAAAACAAACAGCGGATATGGCACTTCAGAATAAATCAAAGTACAAACTCACCTACGGTAGAAATACTCGGTACCAAAATAGATCTTTAATGGGGGCAGCTCGCTTGTTACACTATATAAACTTCATGTTGAATTAATGCCAGATGTGAAGCGAGCCAAACGTATTGTCAGCAAAGCTTATTATCAGTTGTGAGAGAGGAAATTAATTGGGCAATGTTTTGTTATCTTGTTGCAAACATCGCACAGCGTTCTGGCGGCAACCATCACAAGCACAAGTGTCCTGCTACACACAGCCAACGCCTGTTCATGATAGTTTACTGAAGCAACAAACCTTGCCTTGATGTGGGAAACAAATCGACAATGTCCTGCAGTGTTTAGTTCAGTCACGACCCAAAATACTCTTTAGTTGTAGTCAAGGAGTTTGCGTATCTCACTCGAGTAGAATTAATTGTTGAATGGTTTTGGTAGATGGAAATTTTTAGTGAACATTTTATACATTTATTAGACTTAACCAGGAGTAGTTGTGAAAAATGGCCCTCTGGTTGGAATCGAACCTACGCCTCTGCAATTTTATATAATATACACTGGAAATTTCCATCTACAAAACCCTCCATCGGTCACTTCTATCGAGTCCTGATATTTCCCCATCACACCGTACGTACATTGCCACTACCTTAGTATATACACATGACCTTGTGGTTAGAGCTTGACAACCGGACTCTGTAGCTTAGTTGTAGGCAGGCTATAACGCGGACTATTACTAGACAGTAGAAATTTTCGTTTCGCAGTTTTTGGAATAGGTCGCGAGGTTCGATTCTCAAAGGTCGTGGGTTCGATTCCCACCGAGGTCAGGTAAACTTTTCAGCTTGCCCGGTGTGGATGCACACTCAGAGTAACATCACAAACATCCAACGATAAAATAGTTTCGATAATAAATTTTGATAAAAATGCGAATAGATTTATTATATTAAGCACGACTTGTCATTAAAATGTTTATTATGGTTGCTAATGTGTAAAAACGTCGCTAAGATTTCTCTATCAGCGATTTAAGAGTTAAGACCAATATTTTCAATATTTTATTGACGGATCAAACGACTTTTTTACATGATTTAAAGCCACTTGTACAATGTATAAACTATTCTACATTATCGCTTAAAACCACACTGTTTATTTTTCGCAATAAAAAACGGTACCCTTGACCTTTTTCAGATCTGTTTTGAAAAGCTAGCTACGAATAACAGGTTCGTTTCTGTCTGCGACTTTTGAAAAGTGGTGGCTCCCTTGTAGCGAGTTTTCGCAAACACGCGCGATTTCCGCGCTGATGTTTGATTTGCGCACTTACAATCGAGCTTATAATTGGATAAACGCGCAAACTCACACACTGTTGCTAAATGATTAAAATAAACAAACGTGTCAAAGTGACTGAGGGATAACCAGAGAATAATATAAATATTTAGAAAACTGGTTGGGATGATAAGACTTGCTGTGTTTCCCGTCGGAACCTACGAGGGCAAAGACAATACGACAATACAATCCTTAAGATAAACAAAATGTTTCTCTATGTTGTTTTCCGCCGTGTTGCGCGGATTAATTTTGCGGCGACGCGCATTTTATACATTTTTTATTGTTTTGCGCATTTTATACAAAATTTTCGAATTTGCGCAGATTATATACATTTCTCGATTTTGCGCTCGTGCGCGCGACGGTTGATGTTTGCTTGATGATTTCAGTACACGGTTTCATTAAACAGCGTTGACAAAGCGAGACATTCTTGTGTGGTCAGAGGGCAATTCGTTGTCCGTATGTATAAACATAGCTTAATAACGATATCGTTTAGGAAATCTATCAACTCAAACATGTCATCGAGCTGGGTGGCCGGCCACGTCACATGCAGGGCGCGTTTTATGCTGATGAGCTGCGCGTATATAACGAGATAGCTGGATTCTCAAGTGCATTCTGAATACTCAAGCCTTCCGAGACAAGTGTCTCTCTCGGAAAAATAAAGTCTAAAGACAGGATTTAAACTCGGTGTCTCGCAAAAATTTTAAGTACATCGTTATGTACAACATTACGCAAGCATCGTCGTATTGGGGTTACTTCCCGAACGCAAGTGTGGATCCTTGTATAAGAGGTTCGACGTACCATCCGTATTTGGGAACAACATTTGGCAGTTCATATGGAAACCTATCTACTCCGATATGTTTTGGGGAAGTTCAACCTTATCCCAAACCTCCATACTCGTATATTGCTCTCATCTCAATGGCCATAAAACAGGCCCCAGAGCAGAAGATCACTTTGAACGCTATCTATCAATTCATCATGAAAAATTTTCCATACTATCGGTACAACAAGCGAGGATGGCAGAATAGCATCAGACATAATTTGTCTTTAAACGAATGCTTCGTCAAAGTGCAAAGGGACAAAGCTGACCCGGGGAAGGGGTGTTACTGGTCTTTAAAATCGGACTGTGAAAATATGTTTGATAATGGCAACTACAGGCGACGCAGAAGACGACCTAACAAGATAAATAGCGCAACAGGCAAGGACGAGAAAGGTCTTAACGACGATATTTCTGACACGGAGATAAGCAGCTCGAAATGTGGCGAGGAAAGGTTAATTAAAGCCGACAACGAGGAAAGAATCCCGACTAAAAAACTATCAGCAACTTTGCTTACACCACCCAGCAGTCCGAGTAAGACTAAACATTCTGAACACAACACGAAACAGAGCGCCGAGCATTCATTTAGCATCAAAAATCTACTATCCTCACACGATACAGAAGTTGAAAAATCTTATCCAATTTACGAAATGAAGAGAGGCCAAATTGAACAATCTGAGGCGCAAACAGTCGAGTCTATCCATCCGGCTTCGCCGTTTCTTCTAGAAAGAATTGCTAATCCGCAGACTGCTAATCTGAGAACTAATCTCGTGGCCGCTTCTGCAAACCAATTTTCACCTTCGGAGTTTATGAAAAACTTATACAATGGAGGACTCTATGCCAGTCTTTTTTCTAGCAACTGCCAAAGATTTTAAGGTAGTGTTGTAGTGATAATGTAACCGTTTATTTATGTAAATTGTCGTAGAGTTCTGGCTTGTGTCCAGATTTTCAAATCAAAATATATTTGTTTTGGTATTCAAACACTTTTGTGTGTGGTGCTGTTGTTCCATGTCAATATACAAAGGCCTAGTTCAAATGTCGAGTTTTTATGCTGTGACCAGTGGTACAGCCGAATGCAAATGAGGTCGAAACAATGAATTTGGCCATATTTATTTTGACCCAGGTCTATGATCTAATTGATCTTTTGTGGTTTGTCTTATGTCACTGATAGAACTCGGCACTTTTCATGGCAGAGTAATTTTCACACATAATTTGTACTTTGTACATAGTATATGAATGAAGCCTGGTATGAGAGATAAGCATAGGGTATATGAGATAAACAACGGAAACGCAGTGACACACGCGACATATTAAACGTCGACAAAAGCCCAAGTTTAAAACACAAACCTCTAAGCGGCATAAGCAAATGGAAACAAAACGGCTTAAAGTATTTCAAAAAAAATTCTGTCCGCTTCATCTTTGCATGTCCTAAAGGTAAAATGGTCTAAATTCTCTCAATTCCTGTTTATGCTCATGTGCGCTTTATGCTCAGTTTAGCTATTTTGCTAGATTCGAAAAAGTTTAATTCACATTTGAAATTATGCGAGCCCCGACTGCAGTCAGACATTGCATGTATATCTCAAAATTCGCTCTCGTAATAAAACAGTAAATCAAATTGAACTTACATTATTTGGGACAGTGTAACTTGGCGACTAATGTTTCTTTAATATGAATAAGCGAGACATTTCCCGCTATTTTTAGCGCTGCAAGTACTAAGTAGGCTATGATTTTGTTATTTTTGCGAGGAGTATTTTCACAAGCTATCGTCTTTGCGGTCGATTTTAAGACAAGCTTTTAACAACTGGAATGCAGTCATTATAGCATTAAGCTAAAGCTTTACTAACATAATGATTACATTTCTAGTTCACAATAATTTCTTTACAATTAAAACAAAATAGATTTGGTACGATATATCTTTAATATCAATTTGCGCAATTGTAATTTCGTGTTTATTTACTTGCGCATAATTTGCAAATTAGTTCTGCTACAATAATGCGCAAATCCATTAATTTGAAAATTTGCATTCTTTTAACATATGTTTAGGGTACTTTGTATATTCTTAAGATTTACCAATGCTCAATGATCGGCACAATTCTGATCTCAGCCAAGAAGTATAAATGCGCCAGATATTCTAATTAGGTCATATTAGACATCGATGCGCAATTTATTCCAACTTAGCCAGGCCAACGCTATTGAGTGTACAAGGGTCGGCTGGCAGTAATTTACAAGTAAACATTTGCATTTGGAAAATCGATCATGATGCTTTTCTAATCAGCATTGTTAATTCAATTAAGGAGCCCATGAGGTTTGCAGTGTTTATGTTGTAATCAAAAACGCGACATTAAAATTTTAACCATCGCGATTTTGTATTGCTCAGTGTTATATACCTGTTATCTTGGCTGCTTAGTTAAACTGTTTTGTTAATTTCGTGTAGAAATTTAAATAACTCTAGTATTGTCAATTGTACATATATAAATTCATTTGTAAATAAATTCAATGTCGTATGTAAAATACAAAAGTGAAAAAAAATGTAGTTTATAAATTGTTTTAATGTGTTTATACGTAATTTTTCAATGTATAATAATAGCTATATGAATTAAAGTTACCTCAATGAAAGCATGCAGATAGTGCATGACTGGTAGACAACTTTACAAATGTTCACATCATGGCAGTATAGTCACTACTGACTTTAAATTTTTGCAACTGAAATTTTGCCTCATAAGTCCTTCGTCTTTGTTTCTAATACCTCATATGCTATGGACGATTTATTTGAGATATCGTGAATTTCATGACAATATATAATCGCTTATTTGCTGTATGTATTTGATTATTGTCAGACCAAAGATAAACTAAAGTGCGCTTATACAGCCTACGGATATAACTAGACGGTATTATAGAAAACTCGAGATCGCGAGCTTTGATAATAACCGAGCAGATTAAGGCCACATACAAAAAAATAGTTGGTTAGCGTCCTTAGCTTTTGCCAAAAAGTGAGCGGGCGGGCGCTTTTTTTTAATTTTTACTAATTTTTAACGCCTTGGTTTTACTCACTGTTAGGTCCGAAACTGGATTTTCTTGCGCAGTACAGATATTTTTTTATATATTTCAAAATATGATTCATACCGTCATTTTCGCACGCAATTTCGCAAATTATTAACACAATTGACTACAGTCAACAGAAATACTACATACATTAGAGCCCGTTGATCAATAAAAGTTGGGTTTTTTTTTAAATAAAAAATTTAAAAAAATCTTGAGCGGGGCCTTTTTTGTGGGCGGGCGGGGACGCTAACCAACTATTTTTTTTATGTGGCCTAAAGCTGCGAATTCGGAGGAATTCAAGTAAATATATTTGTGTATTTTTCAGGCAGTTGAATCGCTGTCAATCTGAAGTTTTGTTGTGTTATATAGAAAAGAAAAAAATATCAAAATCAACGATAGCCTAATTCAATCCGACCGCTGAATGAATGATATAGACTAGATTTTGACCTAGGAAGGAAGAACAAAATTCATCACCACAGCTAGAAAGAACGTGTTAAAATTAGTAAAACTGCAAAGTTTGGTTGCGAAATGTTGTAAAATGCGGAAAATATAGCCCTGCGAAATTTGCAAATTTTGTATCAGTAATTTGTATTGCGCACGGGAAAATGAACCACTTTCGGCCCAAATGTGGCGCATTTCCCCGCGTGTAATACAAATTAACACAAAATTTGCAAATTTCGCAGGGCTATATTTCCCGCATTTTACAACATTTCGCGGCCAAAATTTGCAATATTACTAATTTTATTATATGCCCTTTCTAGCTGTGGTGATGGATTTTGTTCTTGCATAGATCAAAATTTAGTCTATAGCCGCTGGAATCCTCTATTGCTATATCCTTGTTTTAAAATTCAACATTAAATCTTAGACTTAGTTCCTTGAACAAATAATTCATAGTTCATATACAATGTCGGTGACCTATTCGGAAACTCCGATTAAGAAATAACATGAAGCAGACTTTATTAATCCTTGACCGGCTATTGTAAACTGTAAAATTAGTCCGGATATACAAGAAAAGGGATTTAACAGTAAGCATAGGATGCAAGCTCATACGGTTTCGCTTATCCCAGCTTGCCAATTAGCGCTACATTCAGTGGTGCGCTGCATTAGTGTTGTTTCGAGACGTAGGACACAGTACTCCGAAAATAAAAATTGTTATTTTAAACCTTTTCGTCCCAGTTCGCTCACAAGAGGGCAAGTAGTACATCACATACAAGATGCGGTCATACAGTGAGTATAAAAAAAAGTAATCCAATTTTGACATGTTATATCGTGCGTGAATTATTGCGTTTATACTTTTCTCTTTTCGTATTTATAAAGATCTGCTTTTAGCTGTCATTTGACACCTTCATTGCGATCAAAAATGTCCAATTTTTCCATCGCATTTTCCCATCGCATTTTTCCATCATTACTAGGATTTAAATGCTTTTCCAATTTTCCGTCGAACAATGGCCCAAATGCTTGTTGCTATTTGGGAAACGTGTGGCATTGTATGAGTCGAGTTTGTAAACTTCCAGTTTTGTAACATGTTTTTAGCCACTCAATTTCGCCATGCAAAATCGGCGAGTCGGGAAATTTACCAAAACGAGCGTTGCTTTTCGATCATCGCGATCAAAATATTCAACAGTTTTCCAGATAACTCTCGATGGCAAGGGTTTGCTATGTGTTTACATAAGATATGCTTTTAAACTGCGTGAAAAATCAACATATATAATCAAAATGTAAACAGTCGGCACTTCTCTCAAAAGGAATGTGTTTTGTATCATTTCACGAGATCTGAAACATGGGGTTTGCCTTTGGGTGTCAATTTTTTGCCTCTGACGCGCTCTGGCTCTGCGATATTTAACAATTATTCACCAAAGACCAATCCTTGGAGTTGTTTTAGCATGTACCACAAGAAAACAAAAATGACCAAAAAGCAACTAAAATATTTTAAAGACCTTTAAATTTAAAACAATTTTGTACTTCAGCTCCCGTGATAGTTGAGTAACAAAGCAGTATTTACACGCTTTTATCATTTTTATTCATTAGAAATAGCTTTAAAGATTACTTCTACACACTGTTAAACAAAACTTTGTCTCTTTCTTCGTGTTTGGCGAAACTACAGCTTCGTTTCGTACAAAAATGTGCTCGTCTCTATTAAATCGGAACGAAACGAGGCGCCATGTGCATTTTGTTTTTGTTCCGGGCAACCAATCAAATTGCCTGAAAAGCACTATCTACCTCCGGAGTAATTGCTAAATACGAATAGTGGTCAAAACTTCGCATTAAATAACAGTTGTTGAAAATCTATCGGTTACCGAGGCGGCTCGGGCCCCAATGAACGATGGGAATGCGAACCACATGGTGGCCATTTCTGTAGTGAATATGAACAGTTTACAATTTTATTTTGCAGTGTAGTATATTGCATGGCCTCGACTTCATTTTCCTGAAAACATACAGAAGCGTCAAACATTAGGTGAGACTGAATAAAATTCAAAAGAAATCAAATAATGAAGTCGAGACTGAGTGCATAAAAAGAAACGTTAATTTAGAAATACTTCAAAGGCCGATTGTACGAAGGCCATGCAGTAATTCTGCAAATGGTCTATTATAGACCATCTATAGCTTGTTTAGGAAAGCTTCTCTTTCACTTGTCAGAAAAATTAGTTACATAGGAGCTAATTTCTCGTCACACAAAACTATATATGTGGTTTGGCATGATATATGTGGTTGAATTTTTAATAAGTTCATAGACGTTCTCTGCCTCTGGTTTTAAATATTTATTTATTATTACGAGCTTTCGACTACCAGGCTTCAGTCTTCAACGGATGGATTACAATGAGAGTGTGACAATTACGATGGTTTACAATTACATATAGATACAAAATGACAAAAATGACCGTTCCGCAAAATGACAAACTGAATGACCGTTCCGCCTATTATTTCAATTTGAATTTTTTTCAAATTCTTTGCTATGGAAATAGTATGGAACAAGGCATTTTTCATACCATGGACTGGTGGGGAATTTGTTGGTGAGCATACTAGTAAACTTATGTTGTGTTTGAATGTTTAGCATGCAATTTACCAGTATTACAAATTTTACCACTGTTAAAACTTTGTTTTGAGAAGCTGAGTTTTTTAAAAAAATGTGTTCTCAGAATGCAGGAAATGCTATTTCAGAGACCCAAATTTTAAAATAATCAACTCGCGTGCCTACGGTACTCGGCTCACACCTTCGCGGATCGCATACTATTCTGCGTGTGTGGGGGGAAGGAAAATGGGCCCTTTGGTAATTTTGCCCCACTACTGAAGAATCCTTAAAAAATGTATTGGACTATGTGGTCTATGGAAATGCAATTTGATACTAAATGCATATAGTACAAAACATAATCCGAAGATTACTCATATTTTGGGTTTCAAGATGCTTATATTTTTTGAAATTGTCGGCTGGTTTGGTTTTTTTTATACTAAATGCAATTTCCATACTATGTATACAGTATGAAAATAGTCATGGATATTCCATGGATATAGTGGTGCAATCGCAAATTACATAGTATCAATTTCACCATTTTTTCCCGGTGCTACCAGTTCCCAACTAAGGTAAGGGCCTTTGTTTCAGTTTCCGAAGCTTTCTTATATTTTCTGTGTTGGTGTTGTGTACTCAGGTGAATATGATGTTTGTAATGTTACTCTGAGTATATATCCACTGATCCACACCGGGCAAGCTTGAAAAATATGCCTAGCCACGGTGGGAATCGAACCTACGACCTTTGGGATACTAGTCCACTGGCACAGACCTTCAAATACAATACAATGGAAACTCCGAAGAAATTCATATTAATTCATATATTCATAGAAATTCATAGAAATTCATATTAATTCATATATTGAGATTATACTGACATGATGTGTGTCGGTGTTCCCCGATCTTCGACGACACTCCCAAAACTTCGGAAAACTTATCGCAAGGCAAAATAAACAATTGTATTACAGTTAAGTGTTATGTTTCTCTACCATCGTATCGCTATCAAGTGTGAGAGCAAATGTTGAAATAAGCTCCTTATGAAAACACTCTCGAGGCCTCGATGTTTGTTTATATAAATAACGAACGTCTGTGACCGTATTTAAAATTGACAAACGCCCATAATTGAGACACTGATACCATCTCGAACTGGGTGGTCGACACTCCAGCCTGCGTCGCGGGCGCTCTTGCCTGCATAGCGCGCGCTTGATTGCCGGAAATCCTGCTCGCGGCGCATGCTGGGAATGCTGAGTTGAGGGTGGGCCATGTTTTGTAGAACATTAGATCCGGTGGGGGACTCTTCAAGAAATATTGAGGATGCTGGGGGTGGGGGACTCTTCAAGAAATATTGAGGATGCTGGGGGTGGGGGACTCTTCAAGAAATATTGAGGATGCTGGGGGTGGGGTTAGGTTGTCAACATAGGACCCTTTTTGTAGCTGGAGTTTAAAATTAATTTAAGACGCGTTAAATTTCACGAATTTAGAATTATACCCATGCAAAATTCCTACTGTGATCACAGAAACTTTGATAGTGTAGATGATCTAAGCATCAACAATTAATTCTGTACAACGTTATATCACTTTAAATTAGTCGAAAGGATATGAGTTTAGGAAACCATATCATGAAAAGCATAGCTATAAAAGCATCTCAACTATTTTCCACAACTCATTCTGTTTTGACTACAAGATTTTGGAGATAAAAATTTCGTTTATATTACGTTCACGGCTTATCAGCAGGCCACAGACACGTTCAAAATAAATATATTTATACAGAAATTTATCATCGGTGATTCTATACTCTGTCAGAATATTTGTTTTTGCTTGATTGTGATTATTGTTATGTTTGTTTAAAGTCTAAAGGGTCAAGTCAGCTTGCGCACTCGAGTCGAATTTCATGGGAAAATGAGAATATTTAGAGCTCTAACATCGAGCTCTAACTTGTGGTCAAACGACCTTTTCATAGTCAGGAAAAGTGTGTATTTTAATTTCAATAATTTGTATTAAACGCAAAATGTACATGATTTAAAAAGTTAATAAACCCATCACAATAACGGTATTAATAATAGGTGGACATTGTTTAGTATACCTAATACTGATCGTTTTATAATATACACAACTGTAAAATACCTGCCTGCAACCAGCGGGCTACTCGCAGGCGAGCACCCAGATCCCATGCATGTCAGGCATGCTAAAAAATTATATGAATACACACCCAAATATGCATTAGGGGCGGACCATTAGAAAAGTGATGGGGGGGGCAAAAATAAAAATCGCGCAGGGGATACAGAAAGAAAAAAAATATACGTGCATCAAAAAAGTTTGAAAAAAATATTCGTGCAGAGACTTTTCAATGGGGAAAATTATAAGTTGAAATAAAAAAAAATTCGTGCAGAGACTTTTCAATAGGGAAAACTATAAGTTGAAATAAAAAAAAATTCGTGCACCAAGAAAGTTTGAAAAAAAAATTCGTGCAGAGACTTCAATAGGAAAAATTATACGTTGAAATAAAAACAAATTCGTGCAAGGGATTATATTTTAAAAAAATTATCGACACAAGCAAAAAATTAAAAAAAAAAATTCGTACAAGTTGAAAAAGTCCCACCCATCACTTTTCTAATGGTCGGCCCCTTACACATTTGTCCTATATATGTTCAAAATTATATACACTTGCCTTTATTTAATATCTGCCTTACTACATCATATCGTCTGTCTAAAAGTGTAGAAAGACAAATAAAAATAAGTGAGCTTTGAACTTTACTGAAAACTAAAGGCAGATTTACATTATACAACTTTTTCCTAAAACTGTCGCATGCAACCTGCTTACAATTTAATTTGAGTTGTACTGTGTAAATCAAGCACAAACGTATTGCAAAAATACACAGGAATTTTGGGATTTTTGCGAGATTTTCAGCGGATTTTAACGGACTTTTTTGCAGGATTTTGAGATGATTTCGGGATTTTGCAAGAGATTTTGAGCTTAGCTCTCAGCTGCAAGTAAGGATCACTAGGGAGAACAGTTAAGAACCCCCCATACAGCTGATATGTACGTCAAGGTTTCCTCCTGGGTAGTAAGTAAATCGTTATTTAGTTACCAATAATCTTGTCAGTTTATAAGGAACCCAACCAGTTTTGTGCCTGCTTTCAACAGCGAGATAACCAGCTTTCGGTGAAGCACCAATAACTTTGACACTTTCACCAGTGGTAAATACAACATCTTG